TCTACCAGACTACACGGCCTAATAACCTAGAAGGCAGCCATGTTCAACAGTACTTCTGATTATTAATTTTACACTTGACAATATATTTCCCGTGTCTACTAAAATCTGAACATTCACAAATAATGGAAAAAATGAAGTATAAAGTTCATCAGGTGATAGCAGAAATGGAAATATTTCTGTCATCCGCTTCACAAGTATCTTCTATTTACAGAAACGTATATAAATGCCATGAACGTATACGTCGATCCGGAGTACATAAATGGAACATACGAGTCCTGTCGCCAAGTTGTAATGCCATCTAGTGGTGGGCTGGCCCTAGGTAGCATGTGCATTCCTTACGGCGCTGAAGACTGCACTCCGGAAAGGTGAGAGACGCCGTGACGTCTACTTAAAGGCGTAAAACACTCAAATAACCCGAGATTTAAATTCTGCATAACACAAGATAAATAATGCACGAGGGCTGAGATTGAATTAAACTGGCTTTGGATTAGGACTGGACTTTTGTAACACTGTAATGGACCACGGGGTTTCCAGAAGACGAGTAACTTCTTAACTATCCGAGCAATCATTAGCGTCTCAAGAATAACTCTTGCATATAAGATTTATAATACCTTCTAAACATGATCTGTTTAGCCAGTTGATTCTAGATCTCAACCCGGAACCCTGTTTCTCCATAAACACAACGCAATACTGTCCTTTCATTTATTCGAATCGCTTCACTTTAGGTTCTCCGAATAAATATCTGCACGTGTTTATAAACTTCCTCGTGGGTTCTGATGCCCCAACCATCTCATCCTTATTCATCTACTCATTTACAAAAATGACAAAGCTTTTCGTTATGTATTTTTCTCCTTACTCCTTTTACTTCCTGCCTAACATCCAAATGTTCTTAGTACCCTCAATCCTCAAATATTATTGTCTTGACGCGAAACAACAAATTTCACTCTCTTATAAAACAGGTAAAGTTAAGGTTTAATTAGATGTTCACTTATGCACATGGATGGAAATGCATTTGTTTTGAACTGAATGGTAGCGAGCCTTCCACATATTTAATCTTCTTTAATTCCTTCATGGATTACGTCACAGCCTGTTCTAGTCTCTCGTTTTTCCTCAGTCGTTGAATTTCTTCGTGAGTGTTATTATAATGTGTCTGTCTTTTACAAATTTATGATTATAGGGAATGCAAAGAATGAGACAGTGTGAGTGACTATGTATAAAGAAGTTAACATATTTCAGGTGGTTTGCCTACATGGGAAATGAAGCGGACAGTGACTTCGTGCCCTTCCAGATCAACTACATACAAATAGCAGAGAGTAATGGTGTATATGAACCACTGAGAATAGAAACAAAGTCTTGCTCCGAGCCATATGATGTAAGTATCGACGTTTCATAGAGCTTACATTCTTACGAAGATCACGTGTTACGGGTCGATTTGCATAACGAGGACGTTTATAATTTATAATTTTTATCGATATTATTAAGGCGAACAAATCAAGGAATATGAGATACAAGGGACACGTAACACGTTTGAGGGAAATGAGAAATACACGCAAAATTTTAATCTAAAAACATGGAGATATGAGAACATTTGGGAGACCTAAAATAGGTGGGGAGGATAATATTGGTACAGATCTTAAAAGAGGTTATAAAGTGTAGTGGATTAATCTGGCTCAGCACAGGTCTATTGGCGGCTTCTAGCGAAAACAGTAATAAGCACACATAAAAGGCGGAGAATTTCACTAGCTGACTAGCCTACTGCTGTTGAAATCCAATACGAAATAAGACAAAGCAACGTGTTATGTTTTGCCCTGTACATTGTACAAAATATGAGATTTTAGAATGCGTATTTAAACACCATGTGAATATTTCTATGAACTCAAAAAAATTCTGTTTCTCTACGGAAAGGACAGCTGGGAATATACCGCAGTATTCTTTTCCCTTTTCTCCGATTTACAATTTGAAGGATTTTGATTTTTCAACAAGCACTGTGCACGGTTTTATTCAAATATCAATCCAAAAAATTTGGTTTTGCAGGAAGATAGCGCAGCATGTAGTTGCTTAGACTGCGAAGCGAGTTGCCCTGGTTCAGGGGGCTTGGTCCCTTTCCCAGCGGAAGATGATGAAGAGTTCGAGATAGCCGGATTTTACGGTCTGGCTTTCATCATGTGCATTGTGTATATAGTTTTGGCGGTGTGTTTCGTCGCCTTGCTGTTCATCTTTCACAAACTAAAACGTGAGTTGTTTGTCAAACTGGTGGATACAGAAGATCAAATCAATCTCTTAATTTAAAATTTTAATAAACATGTCTATAATCTCAAAATTACTACTTTTAATGCTATTCATGACAGTTTTTAGATAGTGGGGAAGTATAGTTCAATTGTACAGAATAACACAGAGCAAAGCCTCTTTAATTATTACAGTTTATATATAGTAACCAGCTCTTAAAGACTGAAGTATCTGAAAGAAGGCTCTCGTAAAGAAAAATGAAAATAATTTCTTTTAAATTGCGGACTTCTGGATTTTCATACACTTAAGCATTACAGGTACCAATCAACGTTCTTCTAACTGTCGGTAACTAACTATAAGCCAAAACGTCATTACAACCTAGGTACAGAAGATGGCTGTCTTGTGGGTTGTTGAGCCGTCTGGTAGAAGTTTACCGACGTTTCAGAGGCCCTTGCCGCCTGCCCTGATTTAAACTTAATTTATTTTGATATTATCCTATTTCTCTAATGTTTTAGCGAACTTCTCCGGTGTTCGATACCCTGCATTCCTGACCACTCTTGAACACACCTTCAACTCTGGTTTAGAGCGATTCTTCACAAAGTGGGGTATCGGTAAGTTTTACCTCAACACTTCAATAAACCTCTTGCGAACCAGCCTTCAAATGCGCAGGCCTACTTTCATAGGCTTTCCAAGAAAGATGCCAGAGTTTCAAACTTATTTATGAAATTGGACGAGAAAATATCAGAAGAAGCTGCGACTTTCAAATAATATTGTATTTTTATTTCGGATTTTATTGTAGATTCAACACCCGTTCATGGGTCATACATCCAACCTGTAATAATTCAGCTATTTTCATGAGAAACTGCTGCAATGCATCTTGGGTAAACTGCTGTAGATTCCGACAGTATTTTGACAAATCAATACTGTACTCGGCTAGGGGTTGTAAAATGTAAATTTTTTTATACCTGTCCACCCATATAATGTGTAGAACATGAAACAGATACTCCAAAGCTGAATATGTATTTTCAGGAACTAGTAACAAGACTAATACACATTTGGACTTGGTAGAAAACAACTATTTCGCACAACCTGAAATTGAAAATAACGTCGTCTACCAACATCATGGCTCTCATCCTCAATTCAGCGAAGGTTTTGCTGAGTGCACAGTTTCAGAATAATTGGTTGTGAAGAGGGAACAAATTTCTTGGACTCCCCGTTTACCTAATATAAGTCCATCAGACGTATCTTTTGGATGTTTTACAAAGACGAAAGTCCGTATCTACGAATCAAAAGTGACGTCTTTACTACAGTTAAAATGACGAATACTAGAACCTACGACACAAAAATTTACAATATTACAATTACTTTGATGTTCTTTCGTCAAATTTAATATATAATTAAAATTTGAAGACCTATACTCTTTCACGGAAAGGCTGTATGTTGATGTGCATGCGTTTCTCCTTATTTTATTTAACAACATCGTATCAAGCACATATTACATAGCTTTGAATGGTAAAATAATGGTATCTATAAATTAGAAAGAATGTGGAAGGATGTGATCTTGGCTTATTTAAGATACTACTATCACGAACTCGGCAAGAGATGCTGTGGTAAACTACGAGAAACCTCAGGCATCATAGAGTATAGGTGCAAGCCAAACGCTTGTTGTGTGTCTAGACTAAAATACAAAGTTCAATCCGAGAGGCAACATATGACATCCCCTGGAGATTTCGGATTAGATAAATGGAATTTTAATGCTGTTATCGCTATCATGCACCTGTAATTAATTACTGATAATAAAAAATGTACCGACAATGTCATCTGTCAATGAAAATGAAGGTAGTCAATGAACTGTTAACCACATAAGAATCGTACATCTGAAGTCTATTTTATTTGTGGTTATTTAACGACATTGCCACTAGCTCAGACTATACAGCGTCGATATTAGTATTAATGAATAGTGAACTGGTAAGGATATGGAAGGAAGGGGTCATGGCTTAATTTAAAGTTATATTCTGACATTTATCTGGAAGAGCTGAGGAAAACTGCGAAAGATTTGAATCAGGGATATTCCGAACACAAAGGAATGCTAACCAGTCGGCAGTAATGATTCGTAGATCTTGCAGTTTCTCAAGTCCAAAGCTTCGTTTGTGGTGACTCTGTTACATTTTACAATGCTTGATGTATTTTGTTAAAGATGCATTTTTCTTCTGCGTGTACGAAGCTAATAATCAACGCCTCATCAAGAGAGTTCCTGTCCCTTATGGATCCTGAAAGTTTATTACCGTGTCCATCACTGATCCCTATCCTGAGTCAAAAGATCTGCTCCCCGCAGCTAGGTCCGTATTTGCTCAAGAAAGAGTTTGCTTCGGACGAACTTTGGAGAGCTCCTTCACTATACCTCTTTCACGATGTGCATGGGATGAACAGCAATGAAAATTATCCTATTGGTCGCCACTGAGGAATTTTCCAGGAACATAGCTCTCCTATATTTTATTTCTTAAGAACGAACAGTAATATTTAAAGAAATAATCTAAGTAAAAAAGTATGAGGAAATTTCTAGAATTAACTCGTTTTAGTGTATAATCATTAATGCTATTCAGAGTTTTTAAAGTAATTTATTACAATCGCCGGCTCAGTGTGAGCCAAATCTTCCACCTGTCTCATCCTATGTTGTTCGTCTTTTCATCCACTTCGCAGGCATAGTGTACCGAGAGTTCTTCCGTCTTTTTTGCACGCCAGAACGAAACACAGCGCATAACAACCATGTCACTGATTTGCTTTTCTTGTTTTCAGTGTTTGCTTCTCACCCCGCTATAATTCTATTTGCTTCTTCGTGGGTTGTGGCAGCCTTGGGTTATGGGGCTTTCGACTTACAGGTGACGACAGATCCGGTAGAAATTTGGGCTGCGCCGCAGAGTCGCTCGCGTCTTGAGAAAGAGTATTTCGACAGCCGTTTCGAACCTTTCTACCGCACAGAGCAAGTGTTTGTGAAGGCAGTGGGGATAGACAAGGTAATTATATTGTCATCAGTTCAATTGAAGCTTTATCTGATGTATGCCTGTCTTTGAATGTAATTTCCCCTGAAAAAGTACAGCACTTGTTATGAAATATCCGGTACACAGAATACGCATGTGAAAAATGAGAAATGCATACATAATTTTAGTCGATAAACTTGAAGGGAAGATACCATTTGTGAGACCTAGTCGTGTATGTCTGTTACAGGTAAAGTGGGATGACAAAGAATACGGACCAGTGTTCAACGATACATTCCTTAGCGCCGTTTTCAAACTCCAGGATCAGATTCAAAAGGTACAGCGTGAGTGACAACCGCTGATGGCGTTGTATCACCACCAGTCAGTCACTTTAATCACGACATTGATCAGATCACTTAACAAAGGACAAAGTCATTTGAACCAGTGAAGTCGTTCTGGTCTTCGATGTTGAAACAGCTACCAACCGACAATGGCTGTTGTGCCGGGTAGTCTGGTAGATATAGACCGAAATTTTAGAGGAGCTTCCTGTCATTATCTACCAGACTACACGATGCAAATTCCACAAGACAGTAATCTTCATTCATGTTGCCATGAGAATCTGAGATTTCAGCTACCAACTATAAACAGAAACATTTAAGTAATATGTCTTGTTTCCTAAATTGGCAATAATGCTTTACTACCTAGTAAGATAATGTTTTTTTAAGGAACGGTTGTGTATTACACACAAAGACTCGTCCCGTTTCGCCCGGGACAGGGTTGCAGGTATCGCGGCCTCTGCCCAATGGAGGGTGCTATAAAGATACGATATTCGGACGGTAATATTTTGTGACATGTGCACTCAGATCAACAAAATGAAACCAAACTTATTTCAACTTTCCTGATTTTGTCTTTATTCCCTGTAGTGTCTTATTTTTCTTTCTTGCTTAATTTCTTCTTCCCTTCTGTGTAATTCATTTTCTTATTAATTTCTATATTTGCTTCTTCCTTTGCATATGTGTTTCCATATTTATTTCATATTGTATAATCTTCTCAGAAATTATTCAGTCGACTTGCACACTGTACAGGAATAGTGAGGGTGGTAAACTGCATACATTTGGTAATACCAACTGCAGCTGTTCCGTAGCTGAGGTCTCAGTCGCTGCCACGTTGGATTTGTGGTATACAATTTGGGGAAGGGGCCATATCTTTCCGTATTTCGATACTCGCTGCCAAACCTAATTCTACTAATGCACCATATGGGTTTATAATTAACAATGCGATCTGATCAATCGATAGTTTTCATAACCCGACACTGATCGAAGACATTACTAAATTCGGACTAGGGGTGTAGTTTCTTTGTGATACCAATAGTTAATGATCTGTGGTCCAGAAATTATATACAGAATAAGTTTCAGGCACTTTAGTAAAATAATATTCAAAAGAATATACTTGATTATACACAAACGGTTTGTTAAACCAGTGAGATACGTAAACAGACTGAAGCGACAATAAGAAAAGACGATCAGAAGCAAGTTTAAGATCCTAATTGTCAGAAGCTTGAGACCGATAACATAATTTACGAGATTACTGCATGCACGACGAGATAAACCGTGCAGATAAAAGGGGTAACACAGTGACCGATGAAAACACAAAATTATAAATATATAGGATAAAAAGTAATATGAAGGCCAAGGAAACCCTATACAAATAAATCTGAGGTAGATAGAGCCATGAGATTCTTATTCCATTAACAAAACACTACGATAACATTTAAGATATAACGAAAGACTTGTATTGAAGTCCAACTGAATGTGAAACGTTACGTTTTGCAGCTCGGTGAAGACGAGGGCAAGGGTCTCAACAAGATCTGTTTTGCTCCACTGGTCGCAGCTGGAGACCCTGTCTCGGTGAAAAACTGCACGGTCCAGAGTGTGTGGGGATACCTACAGAACAGTCCAAATCTTACCAATGGCTACATCGACACCATGATGAGATGTATCCAGTGAGTATAACACATCGGCAGTAACACTCATGACATGGTTTTAAATACTTCAGAATTACTGAGAGAGGCGATCGACCTCATGATGGAGGCAGTATGACCTCAGAAACGTTGGTAAACATCGACCAGACTACACGGCGCAACAACCCAGAAGACAACCATCTTATGACTCACCGCCCTGATGACGGAGGCAGTAGGACCTCTGAAACGTCGGTAAACTTCTACCAGACTAAACGGCGCAACAACCCAGAAGACAACCATCTTATGACTCACCGCCGTGAAAACCTCAAATCTTACGAATGGTATCTTGTATGACTGGGGTCTTCAGGGTAGTGTAGCTAAAATATAAATTACCAGAAGGCTATTGTTTTTGACAGGAACACATATGACTACAGCTGTCTAGCGCCCTATGGGGGCCCCGTGGAACCCGGAGTGGCTCTAGGAGGCTTTGAGGGCTCTGACTACTCGCAGGCAACTGGTCTGTCGATCTCATTCATGGTGAGCAATCACCACAATAAGACAGAACTTGTTCCTGCGATGGAATGGGAACTTAGGTAGGTCTACCACTACATACTGCATGTAAGGTGTTGAAGTGTACTAAAAACAAAATTCATAGTTTTTTAAATCTCACGTTTTGTTTATAATCAATGCCCAGTTGTAGTTAAATTATGTGTTTAGGATTTAACGACTCCGTCAGTAGCTCAGATTATGTAACGTCAAATGATCAAATAATAGGATGATTGATGAATAATTATTGAAGAAGAAATTGGTGTTCTTCAGCGATTTGTCTCTTTCATACCACGGAAAACACTGACTTGTTACAGGTTCGTAGAGTTTATGAAGAATTGGACGGAGACGGAAATGCCAGACTTTATGTCGGTGGCATTTTCTTCAGAGCGCTCAATTGAAGATGAACTGGAAAGAGAGTCTGAGGCAGAGATAATAACCGTAGTCATCAGCTACGCTGTAATGTTCGTTTACATCACCGTGGCTCTCGGGCAGTTTCGCAGCTTCAGGACGATTCTGGTGAGCAGTTTCTCTCAACCCGAAACACTGACGCGACCTAATCTCTCTCATACGCTCTAAATGGACGTTTCTAAGACGGTCAGAATTAAGATTGCATCATTTTTAGATGAGACACCGTGAAATCTTGGAAGTTGTTAACGAAATTTTGGACGGGTGTGCTGCTTCCATCTTCAGGGTAGAAGTAAGTAGGCCTACGTCACAAGAATGTAACCATCCCGGACTACATCTAGGCTTCACTGTACAAAAAATACTAGCAGTCCTGTATAGATCTGGAAGTTTTTCATTATATGACGTCGTAGCATCCACTGCCTGTTACAGGTCGACAGCAAAGTGACGCTGGGGGTCGGAGGCATCGTCATTGTGCTCATGGCCGTTGTGTGTGCCCTCGGCATATTCGGGTACGCCGGAGTCACGACAACTTTGCTGACTATAGAGGTAAGTGCTTCATGGTGAGAAGTGCCCGACTTCATCATCACTAACCGGGTATGCAGCACGCAGCCAATTATTCAGCTGGCGTCCAATATGAGAACTGTCGCACTTTGCAGGTGATTCCGTTCCTGGTATTGGCCGTCGGTGTGGATAATATATTCATCCTAGTGCAGACACATCAACGCGAGGGGAGACGGAAAGATGAAACCCACGAGGAGCACGTGGGGCGTACCTTGGGACGTGTGGGTCCCAGCATGCTATTAACCAG